ATATATATATATATATAAAACACTCGTTATCATCGTTGTGGACAGGAATTACCTGTTCAGTACAATATAAGGAATACACCTGTCCTAAGCCCAGATCTTCATTGTCGTTCACTCATTCCCCAAGTCTGATGGTGTTAATTGCAGTTCGAAACACCGCGGGAAAAATTTGTGCAGATTGTGGCGCAGTTTCTGAACTTCTTCTGTGTGCAGCTGGATAAATACACACCTGTTTCTTAGTAACGAACAACAGCACGCAATCTAAAATTTGTTTACATGAACTGACAATTAAAATGCAATCCACATTTTTTTTTATCCCTCCTTTTCTGTTCATGAATGAGAGTTCTTTTAACATCTTCTAAAGTGCCGTATATATATTGTATGGCCCTCATTTCATGCTTGGAAGAAGATAATTACTAGGTGAAAGGAAGGTACGTCTACAGACGAAGGACCTGTTTAAAAACTATTACATGATCGTATACATTATTTAAGTGTGGGTATAAATGGCATGTCGTTAACCGCAACGTAATTTGCTCCAGCGTTCTACCTATACAGTGTTACCTCGGTTATTGTATTCACGGTTTAAAGTGGTAATTAAAGGTGTCATACAGTGGTAGAGATCAGCCTAGTGTAAAGTCTTCTGGATTAGGTTCCTGGGATTGAGTTCAAGACTTCCCCTCTCTCTCTCTTTTTAAAAAGCTTGCCACACAGAGTACGTGTCAATCACGTGACACTTTTCTTTATTGGCCATAGGTGAATTGAGATAACCCACCCACATTTGTTCTTTCAATACGTAAACATTCAACTCGAGAAGTTTGTGGGTGATCTTGAGTTCAGGTTAGTAGTCAAAAAATATGTTTTATTTCTAACATTTGATTTCAGTTGTATTTTTTACTTATTACTGGAAAATTGCTTTTTTATTTATACAATACACAGATAATTCAGATTTAAAATTTATTAATATTTCTGTATTGTACAAAGTGAAATATATAGATGACTAAATAATAATTAAAAAAAAAGGTAATGAATGCAGGATATATGTGCATGTTCAGATTTTAGAAGTGCTGTTGTTTTGTTTACAAACCTACACATTTTAAGGTTGCGCCCTCTGTTAAGCAGCATTTAAACTACTGCATGTATTAAACAAACGTGAGAAAAAATCTTCAAATTATTTTTCGTCGCACCCAAGAAGCTAAACTTTATATCTGCACAACTAGGTGTGTAGACCATTATAAACCCGATACTTACTTTGGCACTGGAAATGCATTTGTTAAGCAAACGTGAATATTTTATGTCAAATTAATAACAAATTTTTAAAAGTCAAAGACCACTTTATTCCAGTGGTATCCAATTGTTGTTTCCCCCCCAAAACTGGAAAACTCTATATAAATACTGACGAGCCGCTAGGCCTATAGTATTATATCCTAGCTTAGCTTCTTCAAGAAGCTTTGAACTGAAAGTTATGAGGATCAGTTACTAAACAATGAACTAAGAAGGAAACAACACTTTCACCTATCCCAAACATATATATGTACTATCATGAATCAAGGAATTGCACAAAACGTTCGGGCAAAAACACCTTAAACAATAAAGATTCAGTTCAAATAACACTTAACACTTTTGCTATTGACTGCTAAGGCTGTACACATGTAAAAATGCACAAAAAAGCCCGCACACTAGACTTACAAGGAAAATAAAATCCGCTCAAAATGGTCCGTTTGTAATTTTTCACCTTATTATATTATTCTCTTGACAGCCTACAACAAAAACGGCTTGATATATTGCATCTAAACGAAACAAAAGATGGTACTGAGAAGGTCATAGGGGTGTTGAAAAGTCGATTTATTCCTTCTGTGTTTTACACAAGTTAAAAAACATCATTATTCTAGTGTAAACGATACTATCATTACCCCTTGGAACTAGTTTTCTTATAAACATACTGTGTTCCGAAGCTTAAGTACAGGAATTACCAGCCAATAATAGATGAATATGAAATGAATGTAACATGTAGATATACAATGCTTTTTACATTAGAAAATGGTGTCTTTAGGGAGCCAACCCCTATACTATGTATGAAATGAAGGAGTAAAAAAAAAAATCCATACACATGATATTAAATGTTATTACACACATTCGTAGAATAATTACTTTAAAAGACACGAAGGTTTATTTAAAGCGATGTTTTGTTTCAAAAGGCTGTTTTTCTACTAGTCAAATGTTATACGTGCTTAGTGGTGTTTGTATCTTAGTGTAGGCATACATTTGCCCATTGCTATGCATTATATATAGACAATTTATTTACACAAAAACTATAATTGCTCACTATATTCTCAAACAAATCTCCATGACAATTTCCAGCTGCAAGTTAACATTTTACATCTACAACTAATGCGATCAAATAACCAGTAGCTACAGTAAATCATCATGAACTGTGTCAGCTAGCTCCTAGTTATGTTTATTATCATTACGATGTATAAAGTTAGCTACCATATCAAATAATCCTTTGCCAATAGTTGAGCCTAAAAAAAGCCAGCAAACAAGATAAATAAAAAATTGGGAATTTAAACTCCTGCAAATAGCGATAATAAAAAATAGTAAGGAAACAAGAATGGAAATACTGTATACATTATTTACTCAAACTATAAAACCGTATTTTGACTCCATCAAATGTAACCCTTGGTAACAGTATGGAGCCCAAATAGGCTTTTGTAGTTCGAGTAAATAATATCTACATTATCTCCAACCTTGTTTGCTTACTTTTTTACGGTCCCCATTTGCAAATTTTTAAATTGCCATTTTTTATTTATCTTGTAAATTTTACAAATACTGAATCTTTCACAATACATTTTTTCTTTTTGAAAATCAATATTTGTGCTAACCAGATCTAGCCAGAGATAACACATGAGTTTATTAAGAAAAATTTTTAAAAAACAATAGTTTGTTTCAGCGCAAAGCTACACAATATGCTATCTGCGCTCTGTCCACTACAGGGAATCGACTCCGTATTTTATCGTTTTAAGTCAGTAAACATACTACTGACCCACCGAGGAAATTGCAAAACACCTATTTATATATACTTTTTTATGATACTCAAAATTACTCAGTTAATCGGTACATCTGCTTCGAACATATACATCATTAGATTACAACCAGACAAAATTACTCATTCAGATAAAAATCAGAGATTGTCAAAACCTCATATTTGATGAGAAATTTTAAAATAGCATCATAGATGTCGTAAAAGATAGTGCTTCGTAAATTCTTCAAAAGTGATTTCTTTTTAGATTGACACACACCGAAAACACGATAAAAAATATAGGCGTGAATTACGTCCATACCTTGGCTTTACATGAAAGCTTCTTAACGCCCTTTTTGTGACTTTTATAACCAGAGGGATAATACAGAAGTACATTAATATTGGACGAGAGCCAACAAACACTGGCTCCACCTTATACGGATTTAACAAACTGTTTTCGAAAATCAAGGTAAAACAACGGACACAGGAATAGTTGGATACATCAGGGACTTAGTGATCTAAAACAGACCGTACGTTTTCATTAAACATTAATGGTGTAGTTTAATTCGATTTTTTGAATTATAATGCATATAAGTTAATTGGTAAAGAGCATGGATTATAACCATAGAATTAGTTTGTTTGAAGTTTAGCACAAAGCTACACTATGGGCTATCTGTGCTCTGCCCATCATGGGTATCGAAACCCAGTTTTTAGCGTTGTAAGTCTGCAGACATGTCGTTATGTCACAGAGCTATAACCACATAAGAGCAACAAAAACAACAACAAACTTATGGATGATGCACAAGCTGTCGACGCTCCACCCTTAATCTATTAGGTAGGGATATTCTACAACTATTAACGGTTCCCGGATGTTTGTATACTTGTTTAAAAAACTTGGGTAGAGAGAGAGGTGTTTCAGTTGTCTTTAATAATCAGGATTTCTCTGTAGCCAGTTATAGCGAAGATGGCTTCAAAATTTGCTTTGAAGCCGAGTATAACATTCAAGTAACTATTTTTGTTAGTTTCCATAAGAATTGAAATAATCTAAGCAAGGTGTCTTATATAAATTAAACCAGAAAAATTTAACACCTGAAATCATATTTTCCAGCCAATTGAAGACTTTCTTTTATTTACCCGAGTTAAAAAAAACCGACAACAATTGGCAGCTGGTCACGATTTTGCTGTTAGATGTGAGAAGGTGTTTTCCTTGTTGTGTTGTAACTGAGATGTAACACAGAAAGCATGCTTCGTCTCTCCCTATACATAATTTATCAATTTTATTTTTTATATTTTCGACGTCACAGATAGATAGATCATGTTACTTGTTATATGAATAACAGACGTAAGAGAGTCTGAAGGAGAATTATTAAGGCACACCAGTATCAGTGATGCAGTTTACCTTGCCTTCGGCAGCAAACACTGATAACGCTCGGTGAAGCTGCGTGTCCAGTTCTTTCTTCACTGTACTGCTAGTAGTTTTAAAATCAGAGCGATGTTACTTAGGGCTGTTGTCAAGGTTATCTGGGATCAAGTAATGGAATTTGTTATTGCTTATTTAGGCAGTTTGAGTATTTACTATATATAACTATAACAAAAGAAAAACAAAACATTTTACGGAGTCCAGTGGTTTTTTTGACAATTAGGTTAGTTTCAAATCTTACCAAATACCTCTTCAATACTCCAATATCTGAGAAATATTCTATAGCATATGAAAACGCAGTTGTTCAAAATATGTTACATGTATAAGATGAGTTTTCAACGTAGTTAAGTAATGCATATTTCATAAGCCAGCACCTATTCAATAGATTAATTAATTATGTATTTTTATATATAGTCGTATTTCGTGCTCAGTCAGGAGACAGAATATTTCATTTAAATAAACCTGGGGCACAGATTAACCGCGTTCTCTTGCTTCTAAAAAAATTGTTCTATATATTGGGCGTAGCTTAAGGTACAAACGCAATTTAGAACAGTCGTTGGAACACTGGCCTGAATTTATACGAAATGCTTTTCTTGGACGATATCATTTCATTGCTGTCAGCATTTTATTGATTTTCGTTCTAATTAGTAAGAAGATAAATTAGCCAAAGTTGTGCAATTGCCGTGCAAGAAAATTACGACAACAAATTAACAATCAACAATAATGTTTTTTAACATTAATTAGTTTAATTAAAATAAGTTTAATTCGGTGAGAAATATACTATCTATTAAAATGCAGACTCTTGATAGACGCTTACAGGAAAATCTATGTTAATGTATCTGTTTTGTATTTGGAGCTATTATCACAAGCAGCTTTTTCCTGTACAGAGCTTAATACATTACTTAATGGGAAGCTCTGCTACTAGAATTTTTAACTGCAAAAAACACATTTTATTTTATGATATAGATAACATATATGAAATACATGATTAGAATTTCTGAAAAACCACTTCATTTTGGTGTTAAAAGGATGTTTTTGGTTGCAGTGTTGATGTGCATTTCATTACGATCTCCAAGACAAAAAGTAGTCTCTAAGTTTTCTGGCTATTTATCTGTAAGAAATATTGGTATTAGTAACAAAATACAGGTTTTGGCAAAGGACACATACTTTTCAAAAGCTTGGCTGAAAAACCAAAAAACGAAAACAAACATATACCTCTTAGATGACGTTCCCTGACACGCAATAAATAAGAGCAGTAAGAATTATGAGGTGTTTTGCCCTTGTGGCTGTTTACAACTCTGTTACACAATATATTCACCAAGAATTAGATAGTTTAATCAAATCCATGAAAGGTGTGATTTAATGCCATTACGCACTCATCACTCAAGATGCAGCTCCTAATATACAACATGATGTCAACTCTCAACATACGAGATGTCAGCTTTCAACATATACGGTGCAAGTTCTCAACGTACAAGGTGCTAACTCTCGACATACAGGTGTCAACTCTCAACATACAAGATGTCAGCTTTCAACATATACGGTGCAAGTTCTCAACGTACAAGGTGCTAACTCTCGACATACTCTTGTATGTTGAAAGCTGACACCTTGTTTGTTGAGAGCTTGCACAGTATATTTTGAGAGTTCACACCTTATATGTTGAAAGCTGACGTCTTGTATGTTGAGTGTTGACATCTTGCATGTTGAAAGCTGACACCTTGTATGTTGAAAGCTGACACCTTGTATGTTGAGAACTTGCACTGTATATGTTGAAAGCTGACATCTTATATGTTGAGAGTTGACACCTTGTATGTTGAAAGCTGACATCTTATATGTTGAGAATTGACACCTTGTATGTTGAGAACTTGCACTGTATATGTTGAAAGCTGACAACTCTGTCAACACTCAACATACAAGACGTCAGCTTTCAACATATAAGGTGTGAACTCTCAAAATATACTGTGCAAGCTCTCAACAAACAAGATGTCAGCTTTCAACATACGAGGTGTCTGCGTTCATTATACAAGGTGTTAAATTTCAATTTACGTACTTACATATATTAACTTTTAATATACATCAAGGCATCAGCTCTCAACACACAACAAGATGCATAATGAATACTGTACAAAGCTCACAAGTGCATCAAGACATCAACTCTCAACACACACAACAAGATGTCAACACTCAAAATACAAAATGTCTAATGAACACTACACAACACGTATACATACATTAAATTTCAGTTCTAAACTTATATTGAATTTATAAAGTGTTCTCAGTAAAATATCAAATATAATGAAAGTGTGATCCAAATTTATTATGGTACATGATTACAGTTCAAAAAGTCAATCCGTTGCTTGTTTACTATAGCTACAACATTAAGCTCCAAGAAGCCAAGATTATGATCAGTGATGATTAATAATCTATTGTAGCCAACTGTTTGGTATAATATCAACATCTGAGATCATTCTAAAGTGCAACGAAGAAACTAACATTGAATTATAAAAATAAAACAAATTTTCACTTTTCAACCTACTTCAATGAAGTTGTTTTTTAAAAAAGAGGGAAACAAGTAATAAAAAATTGCTAAACATTTGTAATGCCAAAAAGTACAGAAACAAGGTAGAGATGAATACACAAAATCATACAAAATCACTACATAAGTAGCCAAATCTTCCAAGAATAATTTTTATCTACAACTAAATCTTGAATTACTGTTTGAATAAAAACATTTAAACTGAATAGTACTATACAGTCTTACA